CATACATACATACATACATACATACATACATACATACATACATACATGTCTTGTTGTATTCGGATTTTTTTCCATGTAAGATTGAGATTGTCTTGGTAACGTTTCGGCGAGGCCTCACTCGCCATCTTCAGGCTGGGTTTTGGGCAAAGACAATCTCAATCTTACACAGGAAAAGACCCAAATACAACAAGACCAGCATACCTACACCCGTGAAAATCTATGAAAACACACACACACAATATAATGATAAATCCTCAGTGAATATTGAATTATGTCAGAATAGTTATTAGTACAAACTGCTTATATTATGATTCTTCAGTTCTACAATTCTACATTTTTCCCTCTAACATATGATCTTATTTATAAAAATGGCTAATTTAAATGATAATTATGTTGTTGTAATTGGTTTTATTTTTCTTTTAGCCACATCTCCCTGGTTTATCTGACAATATAAATGAAGTGGAATTTCATCCAAAGGATTATGATCGCATTATGACAGTTGTATCAAGAGAAGGAGAAAAAATTCCTGTAACATTTTACTTTATTAAATTAGTATAATTTTAATTTTAAACACAGTTATTTTATGCCCCCAAATTCTTTCTGAATTAAAAAGAAACTCATGTTGCTTGGCATAAACCAATATAAAACAAAAATTCTTATTAAATTACCTTAGCTATAAATAATCTCCTTTTCACTACAAGATTTGCCAAAGCATGATTCAAATGTTATTGAAAATGTGGAATTTAATGTTTTAAAGTGATTTAACTATCTTTTAATGACTCTCATTCAAGTGGTATGGAATAGAATTGTATTATTCATAGTTTCTATTATGTTATGCATTGCATGTTAATTAATCTTACATGCTCCTTAATGGAATGTTTCTTAAACGTTTTCTTTCACAACCCCTTCATCTTTTAAAAATTATGGTAGACCCCAAAAGAGCTTTGAATGATATATTGCTCTGGATTTACTGTATTAAAATTTAAAATTAATACATTAATTGCTGAATATACCACAATTCACAATTTAATATTATATTATTTTTCATCGTAGCATAGGATAGCAGATAATTTTGATTTTGCAGAGCTCTCACTTTAAGAAACACTGTTTTAATGAATATTAAGCTTTGAGATAGCCTTGTTTTAGTAATCCATAGTTAACAGCAGGAGGTAGTGTTCTCTGACACTGTTAGACAAGTATCTAATGTTTAAAACTATAGCAGTAGTTTATTTGTTTTTCAATAAATTATATTGATTAGGATGTTCCTGCTATTTGAAAGAAATAAGCAAATCCAACTCAATGTGATATCCTCCAGACATATTACACCTTTTACAATGTTCCCTAAGAATTCTGGTAATCATAGTGCAAGACATCTGGAGAGAATCAGAACAGAAAAGAATCAAATAGATGGAAAGTTATAGCCATTAAAAGAAAGCAGTCTTCTTGCTTTCAATTTCTTGTATATACTTTGTATTTCTCTGTGTGGCATACATACTCAATACCAGATCAGAATTTTTAAATGCTATATTTTGTTGAATAAAAATAACCATATGTTGAATGTGTGTATGATCTGATATGCACCTAATGCTAGGCCATAATAGGTAGTATCACATATGTATTATGTGTTACATATTATTTCAGTTGGACACTCCAGTAAATGCAAAAGGACCTGTAGAGCTTTGGCTGATGGACCTATTGAAAATGCAGCAATCTTCATTACATTGTGTAATTCGGGCTGCATTTTATCAGATTAGCGATCCAGGCTATCAACTGCTAAATTTCCTATATCATTTTCCAGCACAGGTGAGAAATTTGAAAATAGTTGGTGCTCAAACACAAGCATGCAAAGAGGCTGAAGTTGCATGCCAATAATAAATAAAAAGCTTGGAAAGATTTACATAATTTTGTGAATCGTAACTTTGCCTTTTGTGACAATAAATGTAGCAAGTAATTAATTGGGCACAAATCTCTTTGTTTTCGTGTGAACATTACAACTGCTTAATGCTAATTGAGTAAATTTGGACTCTGTTTTATTGATTGATTTAGACAATGGCGTGTTTTAGATTTCTATAAAGTGAATTTGAATAAAAAGTGATGCAACAGTGATAATTTTGAAAAAGATAAAAGGGGTGAAAGAAGAGACAAAAATACTTATGTGCAGTGATCATGCAATGTGACATTGTGGCTGCTTTAATTATATATACAAGTGGTCAATTGGGAGCCTCCCACATGTCCCCATGATTTCAGAGGTTCTCAGGCAAGATGAAATCACCAAATGTCTCAACATTTCTTTCTTTAGGCTATCCTCATATCCAAAGGAGATAAGATAAGAACCAATTAGAGTTTGTTCAACATACATTGCCAAAAATGATGAAAGATGGAAACCTCCTCACCAAAACTCTTTATTAAGTTTCCAACTTGCTTCCTAAGCCTTTTTCCTTAGAGTGCTCTATATATGTTATCTCTATGGCAATAAAGCAAAAGAAGGTTTAGGTTTTATTCTGAGTATCTTTGAAGGCGTTCTGATTTTTCACCCTGCAGAAAAGGCAAAGTGTATAATAAAACCCAAATTTATTAGTTGGTCAAGTGAATCACCTTAAATTAGAATTTAAAACTCGAAGTTGTTAAAGCATTTGTTATTTACTGAAATGAACTATAAATGTTCTTATACACATTTTATTATTATTATTTTTAAATTAAAGGTAGGATTGCTGGGAATTCAGATGCTATGGACTCATGATTCAGAAGAAGCATTAAATAGTGCAAAAGATGATCGGAAAATTATGTCAGTGACCAATCAGAAATTTCTGGATATTCTAAATACTCTTATTAGCCAGACTACTCATGACCTTACCAAGTTTGACCGAGTGAAATTTGAAACCCTTATCACCATTCATGTGCATCAGCGTGATATCTTTGATGACCTGGTAATATGGAAATATTAATGCTTGAAATGTTAACTTACAAAATTGTTCAAATTACGTTACACTGGTACTGTTCTTGGGTATAACAATAGCACTTACTAGGTAGGTAGTACATAAACCTAAGTGCTATTGGTGTTGCTATAGTGATTTACAGAAATCTCTGGGTGGTTTATAATGTCAGCATATAGCCCGCAACAATCTGGGTCCTCATTTTAGTGACCTCAGAAGGATGGAAAGCTGAGTCAACTTTGAGGCTGTCAGGTTCAAACTCCAGACTGTAGGCAAAGTTTGTCTGCAATACTGCACTTTAACCACTCCACCACCAGGGCTCCTATAATTGTAAAACTGCGGAGAGCATCAGGATGGGATTCAACACTGGGGACTGAACTGGAAAATTGTATCCTCCAGCGATGGCCATCACTATCTGCACCACGCACACAATGTATATTTAAAGACAAAATTAAAGAATGTGTATATTTTAGCTGAAATTTTGTAGAAATGTCTAATACCAATTGTCAAGCAATTCAGTGATGGACTGAGGTCTCATCTTTAGAAGAAAGACTAGAGAAGGCGCATAGCAAATGTTCCACAACATTCCTACTGTAAAAGTGAGAAAAAGAATAAAATAACAAAGCAAGTAAATCCAAACATTAAATGTTTCAATTTGAGATAATATTAATTGGAGAGGAAGTTGGCAGGGAAACTAACTAAACAAACATTTTATCATTTCACTCCTGAAATTCATCATGCAAATAATGTTTCTGTGCAGTTCTTATATAATTCAGGCTCCTTTTCTGTTTTGAAGGTTAAAATGCATATAAAATCAGTGACTGATTTTGAATGGTTAAAGCAGTGCAGATTCTATTTCAAGGAAGATCTTGATCAGACATTGGTGTCTATTACTGATGTTGATTTTGTTTATCAAAATGAATTTCTGGGATGCACAGATCGTCTCGTCATCACCCCTTTAACAGACAGGTGTGAATAATTTATTTACATTTAAGTCTGATGGAGTCTTAGTGTTGCAAACTGGAGCACAATCTTTTCTCCCTGCAACTTCTAATTAATTTAAAGAAGGGACTGCATTAAATTCTATACTTTTCCACTTTCCCACTCTGTTTGTTAAAAAGTTTGTAAATTCAACATTTTTAAAGAATCATTTGTGTGTACAAATATATCTAAATTTATGCTAAATTTATCTTTACAGATGTTATATTACATTAGCTCAAGCTTTGGGAATGAACATGGGAGGAGCCCCAGCAGGACCTGCAGGGACTGGTAAAACAGAAACAACCAAGGACATGGGGAAAGCACTGGGGAAATATGTAGTAGTATTTAATTGTTCGGATCAAATGGATTTCAGAGGATTGGGACGAATTTTCAAAGGTAAGATTTGGCTTATTAGATAGGTTAGGTCAGGGGTGTCAAACTTGCATCATCACAGTGGCATCACATGGTGTATTTGAACTGCTTTCCCCTTCACTAAACTGGGTCAGCATGTGACGCATCCAGCCCATAGGACACCTGTTTGACACCCCTGGGTTAGATAATAAAATCATTATCTTCCTAAGAAATTATAAACCCCATGAAGATAGAATGAAGGAACTGGAGATGTTTACCCTTAAGAAGCGAGCAGAGAGGGCAGGGGAATGATGGCATTCTTCAAATACCTCATTCAGCATAACAAAAAGAATTTGAAACCTTGTTCCAGAAATTAGGATACTAAATAATAGAGTGCAGGGATAGAAAAGAGCAGTTTGATGGTAGAACCAAGAACCTTCAAATGAGGTGGATTTAAGATGTTCTTGCAGAGGCTAGACAGTCAGTTACACTGACATGGGGTTGGACTCAATAGCCTATAATTCTGTATAATAAAATGAATTTCTACCCTATAGCAGTTAGTTGCTATTCTAAATCGTAATATCTAAGATGAACCCAACTTTATGAAAGATAGTTAGTGATCCATGCTTTCATTAATATAAATAAGACTATCAAATGACATTTGCATTACTACACAAACTTCAGGATTTACTGGCTCTAAATCTGTTTAGGATTACAGAATATATTTTGTTCAAAAAAGAGAAATTTTGCAGATGAATTCATGAATGAGAAAAGTCAGACTGTTCTATCTCATTGATAATAGGGATGGATATAAAGAAAGGAAGAGAAAATAACCCTGCTCATTCAAGCACATCGAATCACAGACTTTGCTTTGCCTTCTGAGCTGAGAGCCCATCAATACTACTGTAGCCAATGTTTTCCTCCTGACTACAAACTAAGGCTAAATACATTTAAAAGTAAAAAGAAAATTACTAATCAACTATTTCCTTCTCCTCGTTCCTTTTCAAGAAGAACTTTATCACCAAGCCCCCCCCTTCCTTTTTTTTTGAAAGAAGGCCCTTGAAGAAAGTTCTTTAACTGTACCTCAAGTAAGATAACCATCATATTTCTTTAATATCCAGGAAAGCTCTTGCACAGCACATTACAAGGATCAATACAGCAAGAGGCAGATTATAAAGAAAGCCTCAAGAATCAGATATTGTCTTACCAACTCTCCCTGATTGCCAATATATCCTTTCTGAGATGTATTTGGCTAGGAGGAAGAGGTCAAGAATCACAGCTCTCTTCATTATAGCTTATAAAGCCTTTGAATATTAGCATACATGTGAGCATGGATTATATAAAAGAAGCAGGAACATAGATATTATTACAAAGATAAAACATGACTTTATTTTTATAGATTCTGGAGTGTCTATATGTGCATGACATTTTCTACATCATGTAGTTTTCTACATCATTATATATTTATATTAAACTCTATTCTGAGTATTATTCTTATATTTGAATGAACATTGTTGTAGGCAGTCACTCTACATTTTCCCTAATAATTATTAATGGCTCAAAATTAGCATATCACTCTAGATTATCTTAGTGAGAAATATACAGTGACTTTTTCTGGTTTTCAGTACCATGTTTCCCCGAAAACACCACAGGGTCTTATTTTCTTTTTACTTACAAAATATGGCCTTG